CCTCCACACTACGAAACTCCTGAACCACAAAACAGAATTTGATCTGACCTAGAGTTGGGAGCAAGAACAGTGAAGTTCTTCATCCTTGAAGTTCTGGGTACTTTTCTCTCTCCAGCTTGTTACCAGGGGCCTGAGCATGTGATTTTCATCCAGAGGGCATGTCTGATGCTCCCAAGCATTCTCACACCTTTCCTTTGCATGTGTCTTCATCCTTGAGTATTGAGGATGGCACAGTGAGTGACAGATATTTTAAATTAGGAGCAGTAAGGGGAAACTGTTACTGTCATGCAAAGCTAAAATATTTCTTAGTTCTCTGTTCATTACAATGAATATAGCTATCATGCTTCATTAATGGAAGAGAAGAAGGAAGCGACAGAATCAAGACTTCAAACCCAACTCCAGAAACAGTTCTCCTGGGGATAGGTAACACAGCACAGAACCCAGTGTTCACAGCTCACTGCTCCCTGCTAGTTTTTGCATATGCAATCAATACTTGAGCTAAAAAATGGTATCCACTTTCCAAAAGGGCACTCTACCCCAAAACCCAGAAGCAGAAGTCAAATTATAATAATCTTACACTTCCCGTCTCCTTCACAGTGCCTAGAAGAGGGCTAAGTACATCATGACCACAAAAAAGGAAAATATCCTCAAACTCTTGGAACTTTTAAAGGGCTATCTTACATTTAAAGCATGTTGATGCTTAAACCAGTTTCAGGTTTGACTGAAATGTTCTCATGGCAGTTATTCAGAACACACTGGTTTCCTTAATGCTGGTGCCCTGCCAGGGGCCACATTTCTGTCTGGAAGGGAAGCAGCCATTCTTTTGATTTGATGTGCCAGGCTTCCCTTAGGGAAATTGTTTTGAGGAGTATAGGCATTGGGATGCTTTGTGAGTTTTTAAATGGAGATGGGCTTGTATTGTAAGATGAACTGAGTGCTTTAAGATGGGTGAGTTGCATGAGCCCCTCTAGGTTAGTTGTTCTCTACCTAACCTAGGCCCACATCAACTCTGCGAGAGGAGAGGGGAGAGGGGCCGGGAGACCGCATCTCCCTTCAATCAGGAGTCCAGCTTTGGCCAAATACCTCCTTTATAGTATTTGGCAATCTTTAATGTACAAAATATCTATATACAATATATCCTACAGAGATGGAAGGAAGGGGCCTAAGCATGTTGATGAAGATGAAAGCACTTTCACTCATACATTTTAGGCATATGGAGAGATTTGGTGCTGGGACAATGAAATGATTTCCAGGCTTCCCTAAAAGTTATCTTCCATAGTGCTGTGAAACTTGGTGGTTGGTGACCTAAGCTGCAATTTCTAGTGAGGGATTTCACATTTAACCTACGCCTAAAGCAGCTCTAAAAAGAACAAGGGAAATGGGGCTGGGGAGAGAGTATCTCCCTTCAATCAGTGGTCCAGATGCAGCCAAATACCCAGGTAGATATTTGGCAACACACACACACTCACATGACATTTATTTACATTATGCCCTACTAAGATGAAAGGCAGGGATTTAATCGTGCTGATGAGGATAAAGCAGCTTGCATCACACACTTCTGGCAGATGGGGAGATGTTGTGCTGGACTAATGACACAATCGCTCTAGACTTCCAGAATGTATATCCTAAAAGTTATCTTCCACATATGCTGGGATGGGTGTTGATGACAGGAGCCTGCAAGTCCAGGTGAATGATTTTACACTTAGGATGGGCCTGTACAAGTCTAACAGGGGAAAGGAGGTCGTCTGGGGAAAGATGACCTCCCTTCAATCAATTGTCCAGATGCTGCCAAATATATTGACTAATATTTGACAAAATGCATATGTATAAAGATATTGTATATACATTACGCCCCACCATGATGGATGGTAAGGGATTAACCATGCTCAGGATCACGAAGGAACTTCTACTTACATACACTGTGGAGACAGGGAAATGAAATCCTAGGTTAATTAAATGATATATGCTAAGTTGCTTCAGTCGTGTCCGACTCTGTGCGACCCCATGGACAGCAGCCCACCAGGCTCCCCTGTCCATGTGATTCTCCAGGCAAGAATACTGGAGTGGGTTGCCATTTCCTTCTCTAAAATGACATATAGGCCCTCCAAGTTTATCTTCTAATAGTTACGTGAATACTCATGCAAATGCCACCTTTAAAGCTACTTCAAAAACACAGGTAATGATAAGTTGATTAATAATAAATATTTGATTCAATAGATTCTATATACATTTGACCTATTTTATAAGCTAAAAACAGTGCTAAATTTTGACAATATCCCATTAGTTTGCTTTAATACTATCAACAACTGCAGCATAGTCACTATCAAGTCCTGACCTTTTTCCTTCTTCCTGCCAGGGTTTGCCAAGAACTGCTTTAGCCCCGGGTCCACAGTATCTTGGGGCTGCAGGGAACACTCTGTAGGATCCAAGATTTCTTAGGGGAGAAGGCAAGAAAGAGAGTAAATGAGAACAGAAAAGAAAAAGCCTTACTTAGTGGGGCATGTCAGGGACTCTGCACTTGAATATATTTGCAACAAATCTAAAGGGAAAGGAGAAAGATAACTAAGAAACAGAAGTATTCTTCCCTTTGGCAACACGGTAAACAAAACATGTATACCAAAAAAAAAAAAAAAAAGAAAGGAAGAAAAACTGTATACATTTTACCCAGTGCTATGGTGATGGTGGATGCATGAACCAGCAACCTGGGATAGGTGAGATAGGGGAAAGTCTTGATTTATAACATTTATCAATTTCCATGCTATGATCAATTTCAAACTACCAACAAGAAGTACGGAACTTCTTAGTTGGGAAGAACTAGTGAGCTAGGGAGAGATGTATAATAGCATACGATATAGTATTTCTGCCAAAAAAAATTTGTGCCAAAAACACAGTTGGTGCAAATAATCTCAAGAGTACGAAAATGGCAAAATGTATTTTTGAGTATTACTTTTGTTTTTTGGCTATAATTATTTAATTGTAAGTGCATGCCATTTAATTTTTAATAATGGTTGTGCTTAGCACCAGTTTGCAAGATTCTTGATAATTTAATAATGGTGAAACCTATATGAGTTGGCTCCAACATACCACACCTAAATGAATAAAAGGGAAATAAAAAAATCAAATAGTAGTTACTATTTTTTTTTAATAGATAGGGAAATCTAGCAGAAAACTAAAGAATCTTTGTGATTTCCAAAATTCAATATGTTCTGCTCATTATTCCCTCAAAAAGTATAATAAAATATTCTTACATCTTAAAGGATTTTATTTTGTTTTCTTCTTTTTTTTTTTTCTTTTTCCAAAAGATTTTAGAGCTAGAGATGTGGGCACTTACAAGTAAATATCTAATTTTATTGGGTTGGTCAAAAAGTTTGTTCCAAGGTCAAAAAAGTTGGTCGAAAAGATATTAAGGAAAAACCCAATAGACTTTTGTGGTTAATGAAAGGACTTTCTCTCCAGTTTCTGTGTGTTTTATAAACTAACTAGAATAATGTATGAGTTGTTTTCCCATTTATTTGTTTTATTGCTATCAAGCAACTCAGGAACACTCAATTACTTAGTGAATTTTTCATTGGGCCCATGTTCTGCCTGACTCAGCAACTCCTTTAGCTCCAGGTGTCATCAAGACAAAGGACATCACCTTTACAAGGCTCAGAATTACAGAGAAGAAAGAGAATGAATGGAAAGAAAGGAGGGGGAAGAGGAGGGAGAGGAGCCTAAGGCAGTGGGAGAGGAGCCTAAGGCAGTGTGAGAGGGCCATTAATTCTAGCCTCAGGCACTGACAGTTATCAAAGAGCTGGTGCCAAAGGCTGCAGTCACATATTTCCTTAGCTTAACATGACACTATTGGCTGTTGGATGAAACATCTATCAAGCATCTATTCAAGCATCTATCAGGCAGTCATCTCAGTTGTACTTTCACAGGCTTTGTCCTTGAGATAACAAACTCTGGATAAATAATAATTCACATTTTTCCTGATGTTTGCAAATATCTGGATGGATCATGCCATGTGGACAAAATCTGCATAATTATCCTGAACATTTATATTTCATCCTGTGATCTTGTTGCCCTAAAGACAAAGCAATAAATGCTTCTAAAATCTTCCAAAATAATGTAATTGTGTGTAGTAGATAACCTTCAGGTGCGATTATTACTGTTTTACTTAGGAATGTACTATTTGAAAAGCTTTCCTCTGACTAAAATTTAAAAATTTCCCATCATGGCTGGAAAACTTTAAAACAGTTTTGTAAAATGTTATCCATAGAGTGATGTTAAAGATTGAATGTATGTGGAATAATCAGTAAAAGTATCTAATTCATTTTGCTACCCATGAGTCTGGCTTAAAGCTATATTTGTGCGTGAATAAATATTTCATACTTATTTGCTAAAGCTGTGTTTATGTATCATAACGCTGTCTTCTTTTTACGAGGATGACACCACTGATCTTCAACCAGCAGGGCATTTGCATTTAGTGACTTTTCTGGAACTAAGGGAGAATGTGTGCTAACCTGGTCACATTTTCTCACTCAGTGAAAGATTGGCAATGCTAACTTCTTTATGTGGTCAGCGGAACACTTCTGATGTATTTAGCCTAACTCAAAGCTATGCATGTAAACAGAGGTAGGCCTCTATCTTAATCACAGTTACAAACACATTTATACATTAAGTTCCTTTCAATGGTTAAAAAAAAAGTTCACATAAGAAAGCAAGACAACCCAGTATGAAAATGGTTAAATCATTTTTGATTGCCGTCACTGACTAAGATCTGCATAAATCATTAGTGCAAGTCGCCAGAGGTGTCCAGGGGCAAATAAAACATATGTTGCATATGTTAAAAAATCCTAGACAAATATGTAGCACTAAAAAAGAATAACAATTAAATTACTAGTTGCTTGGTTAATGGAAATGAACAACCTTTGATAAAATGGTCCCAGTGAAGAAGGAGAAGAACTTCTGTATTTAAAGTGCTGCCGTGGGGAAACTTCGCCTCTTTTTGTGGAAGTTTACCTTCGGTCACCTTCAACTCGCTTTTTACGAACTAGATGAGAAAGAGAAAAAGGTTTGAAAAGACAAAATGAAGGAGAGGGAATATTCCTTAAATTTCAGACAAACAACAATAGTCACACAGAATAGCAATCCCACACGCTTGAGGACAGTTATCAAAAATTTCAATAATTATCCAGGGCAACACATGGAAATGATAGAAGAGCCCAGTGCTTTGTGGAATTTACATTTAAATAAAGCTCTGTCTGATAGTTGGGAACTTGAATCTTAGAGCTTTCCAATTTCAACGGAGTAGAAGTCTGGAACAAACCCATGAGACAGTGAATGTCTCATGTTTACTTATCCACAGCATATCTTCTTAGCTTCTGTGTAACTCAGTCACCAACTGGCTAAAACTAATTCCCTAGGATGATATATTTACAATTCTGATTTTGAACTGAAGACCACGAAGAGCTGCAAACAGAAGTTTAAAGTTTCTAAACCTGTTTTAAATGGAAACTTCAAAATAGCAATCTCCAAGGAAGGTGTGCTGAAGAAGGGAATGGCCACCCACTCCAATGTTCTTGCCTGGAGAATTCCATGGACAGAGGAGCCTGGCAGGCTACAGTCCATGGGGTCACAAAGAGTCGGATACAACTGAGCGACTAAACAACAACAAGAAGGAAGGTGTTACTCAGGTGTCTAGCAAACTCAGAGATTAAGGTTCATTTAATCCGGTGTGAGTGCGTGAGTGCTCAAGTCACTTCAGCCTCTTTGCAGACTCCATGGACTGTAGCCCACCAGGTTCCTCCAGTCTTCTCTGTCCATGGGATTCTCCAGGCAAGAATATTGGAGTGGATTGCCATGCCTTCCTCCAGGGGATCTTTTCAATCCAGGGATCGAACCCACATCTCCTGAGTCATAGGCAGATTCTTTACCCACTGAGCCACCTGGGAAGCACCCTGTAATCTGGTAGTTCGTATCAAAGGAGCTAGCCTGACTGCCTTTCCCAACCTCTACAACCTTCTTCCCCCCTTTCACATCCCTATCTGCAGGCTCCTCTGGTGGACAGGAAGAGGACTGCTCTAATCTTTCTGGATTTGGCAAAAGAAAAAAAAAGTGCCCTGGCCTGTGGCCCTATCTCATCTCCTCACTTTACATAACCCAGACTGCTCCTGCCTCAGATGCAGAAAATCTGACAAAAGCTATTCCCATGACTGCTGCTCTCGGGCTCAGGATCGCCTCTCCATTTACTCCAAACCTCCAGTTTTGCCTATTTTTCTTTGTTCAGATGAGGACCTACATGTTTTCCCAGGTATCTTCTGATTGCAGCTCTAATCATTCCCGTTTGCTGTCCGTTGCGCCTCACCCCTCGCGCCTTGGAGGCAAACACTGCCATATGCCCGGCCAGGCTCTGGGTGCCATTCACTGCACCTTGGCTGGGCTTCAGGGTTGTGGGTAAGCACGTGTGGGCAGGGAACTGCACACTAACACTCACCTGCCTTCTTAGGGTTCTAACCTTTAGCTTCCATCTTGTCTACCATCTGAACCCTCCCCAAGGTCAGCAATGTACTTGGTTGGACACCTTGTCCAGTTTCTCTGAGGTCTGGCATTCTCTCCCCGTACCTATATTGAGGACTGAAGCCTGTTATTGGCAGGCTACTTGCCAAGTGGACTGTTTGTTGGTACCTGGATGGTCTTTTTCCACACTGTTTCAGGTGGCTAGGATGTCCCCAGATCAAGCCCCCCCAAATGGTGCCATTCTTTTTCACTGTGGTTGACCAGGACATGCCCTACCTCATTCTAACATAAGTCACAAAAGAGTGGGTAGCAAGAAAGATTAAAGAGGGACTAACTGAAAAAGCTACTTCTGAGTTTAACCATTAAAAAACATAGCTGTCTTAGGTCATTTCACATGTAAATCACCATGGTATCAGACATAACCATACTTAAACCCAAGTACAAAAGCACAGTTAGGAGTCAAACATAAGTGAACTGGGAATTTCCATGTCACTGTGTCCACTTTCCGGTGTAGATTATAAACAGAGGGTGATTACGCATAAGAAGTAAGTAAAGAAGAATTAAACACACAAAGGAAACCAAGCAAAAATCAAAGGCTGCTTGGGAAAAAAGCTTCCTCTTGAAAGAATGCCAAGATAACACTTAAACACTGTAAAGATGATGTGGATTCCTATGACCATGTAATAATACACTTCTGATGAAGGGCTGACACCAAAGGCCAGTAGAATGGTTATCTGTGAGATGTTATATCTGAAGTGGAGAAATGAATGGTTGTCCTGCTCTTGTAATTACTAGCAGCACATATTATGCCTGCATTACCCAGGTCATTATTCTTTGTGATGGCAGCTGCCACTCTTGTTCGTGGTCCTTGCTTGGTAAACTGATATCCAAACTTGAGGATCCTGGAATTCTCCTCCAGCATCTGGGCAATTTCCATCTCCACGGCTGTTCCCAACTGCTGTCTCTGCAGATGTGGACACAAACAGAGGATGGCCAAGAAAGCAGAGGAAACAGTTACTCACATTAACTATGCACGGAAAGATGTACAGCTATTTGTTGGACAAAAAGGCAAAAGTCTCAATTTGAAACAAAGTCACTTGAGATATTTTCTCTCATACACCTGTTCCTTGTTTAAAAGCAAAATCCAAGAGGCAGCTGAATCTGCTGGCATGTTAAACTGAAAAGACTAGGCAAATTATTTACGAAGGAAATGACAATTCCAGACATAAAATTAAAGCAAAACTAACATGTGGTGTTTCCACTTTACCCAAGTATCTGTTTTTTAAACAAAGGATTTCTTTTTTTTATAGTGACACAGTCTTATAGCAATCAATCCAGTTGCAAAATCTTCTATTCTGGGATCCACATCCAAAGATACCTGAAAATCATCAACTAGACGGGCGGTCATTCTCTCAGAACAGAGTCTCACTAGGAGATCCTCAAGAGGTTTTATTAGTGTGGTTTGAAGCATGGCCAGGTGAATTATCAAACACTAAATGGGTTATTGGGCTATAGAAAATTCCCTGTTTTTTTAAGTGGTAGAAAGAGTATTTTTGCTTTTTTTCTTGTTTTTTGAGAAATAGAACAATAATTTTAAAAGTAGGGTTAAAAGTGGGGGCATGTAAATATAGGAATCCACAGATAATTTAAGGAACATACTACATTTTTTCCATCCTCTATTCATTAATTTTTTTAAAAAACTACAAAGAAAAGACAAAAAAAGTATATAAAATAAAAAGCTCCCTTCCTCCAGACTCCCATTTCCCATGAAGAAAGTCAGTTTGGCATGTAGTCTTTGAAACATTTTCTGTGCATTCATGTACATGTAATCACATGTAATGTCTATGTTTTCTTCACATAAATGGATTACACTAGAATATTATTTTGGGTTTCCCTAGTGGCTCAGACGGTAAAGAATCCGCCTTCAATGTGGAGACCTGGGTTCAGTCCCTGGGTTGGGAAGATCCCCTGGAGAAAGGAATAGCTACCCACTCCAGTATTCTGGCCTAGAGAATTCCACGGACAGAGGAACCTGGCAGGCGACCCACAAAAGAATCCAACTCGACTGAACGACTTTCACTTTCAGCATATTATTCTAGGGTTTTTTATTTTTCATTTAACATTAAGAACATCATTTCACGTAGGTAAATATATGTTCCCTTCATCCTTGTGAACAACTGCATAGCATTCCATTGTAGTTAGTGATAATATTTGATTCAGCTACATCCTACTGACTGTTACACTGCATTCTATTCCCACAATTTCAAACAAGGCTGTGGTGAACTTCCTGCCCACACAAAGTATCAATATGTCCTGGGGCATTTCTGCCAGTGTGCCTGTAGGGTACATGATAGTTGGCTCCAAGAGGAAGCATTTTTCAAATTTTGATAAATGACTGACTTACCCTCAAAGGTTATGACAATTTGTACTCCTGGTAATAGGGTCAGAAAGTTAGTTTTCCCTACTATAGCCAACATGGGATATTATGAATCTTTTTCATCTTTTTCAATCCAACGGGTAAAAATGTATTTCACTTATATTTAATTGCTTTAATTTGCACTTCTCAAATTATGACTAAGAACAATTAATTTCTTATGCATTTGTATTTCTTTGGAAACTACCAACCTGTCATTTGTATATTTTTCTACTAGCTTGTAGTTCCTGTTTTTAAAATTTATACTTTAGGAAATTAGCTTTTTGTCAAAAATGATGAAAAAATTTTGCTCAGTTTGTATTTTGACTTTCCTTTTGATTACTGTACAAGATCATATTTCATTTTCATATGGTCAAATTTGTGCCTCTTAGATTCTATGTCCTGCTGAGGAAACCTCTCCACTTCTGGTTTCTTTCATTTGTTTTATGATTTCATATATTTTAATATTTAAATCTTCATTTTACCTGGAATGAATTTTAGCAGAAAAATTAAGATATAGCCCCAATGTCATTTTGTTCCAAAATGCTGGAGAGTCATGTTGTAAATCAACTATACTCCAATAAAATTTTTTTTTTAAATGCTAGTGAGTAGTCCCACCATCTTTTACTTCATTTGTTCCCCCACTGAGTTAAAATGCTACGTTGCTGCAAAATTCTCAGGTGTACTAGGCCGTGTTCCTGGACCCTATAGTTCTGCCAAGTCTATGTCTGTGCCTGACTCATGCAATTTTGATTAAGTATATCAAATTACATATCAGTTAAATATATTAAATTATATATTATTATAATATCTTTTAAATATAATAAATATATTGAATATATATTTTAATATATATACCTTTTAAATTTGGAAAATTTAAGTACTGAGTACATGAGGAAGAAAAGTTAGTGAAGGAATTTTTGTGTCCTAGGTAAGTTCTAAGGCTTAACTCTGATCCTCTTCTTTCTTTTCATCCAGTAACCTGTCAAACGAGTCTTTCCTCAAGAAAAGAACAAAATGTGATATTTCCGGTCAGACAATAACAATTTTAGATATCCACAGCATAGAGATTAATGTGCTCAGCAATCAGCAATGTAAGGTTATGGTAGGGAGAGGCAGCAAAAATGTTAGAGATACTGACTTCAACGCTTCATGAGCAACTTTAGCTCATGACATGGCCCCATGAACTGTAGCCCACCAGGCTCCTCTGTCCATGGGATTCTCTGGGTAAGAATACTGGAGCCGGTGGCCATGCCCTACTCCGGGGATCTTCCCAACCCAGGGATCGAAGACCCAGGGCTCCCACATTATACAGGTGGATTATTTGCCATCTGAGACACCAGGGAAACCCACACTTTGGAAAAGCAGGACTGGACTAGGAGTTGAGACCTGAGCAAAGGTCAGGGCTGCCGTAGTTATGACTCATGTCCCTGGGGTGCGCCACAGGTGCTCTCTAAGGGTGGAGGTAGCTGACTGAGGAGGGTGACATAAAGTCCCTCTATTTCCTTTCATAAAGCTTAGGCATCTGGAGCCCTAGATTTGGGTAACACACAGGCTGGGCATGCGATGGTGGATATAAAGGACATAAGATCTGAAGACAATTATATTGGGAAGAGGGCATATAAAGGAAGGGGAGGAAGTAATACAGCATAGAATATCTTTCTTAGCCTGAGTCTTTTTTTTTTTTTTTCTCTTTTGAGATGTTTTGTGTTATATAAACCTAGGGCAATAAATGGGCACCAAAATTTCTTATAATTTGGATATATTTCTCTCTTTTTTTAAAGTCACTAAATACAAAGAAAAAGAAACAAAATTTAACATATGGTTCTTCAGATCACCTTTTTTGAAGTGACCACTTTTCTCTCCTCAGATTTATTCAGAAGTTATCCATCTGTTTCACTAATACGCATCACTGATTGTTCTTCTCACAGCGGCACCTGATTCAATCACAGCTTGCTTACCTGGAGCCTAGCCACCGCAGCCACCCCAGTGCAGGATTCTCTGCAGGCCTTAGCTTTGGTGCAGCTGCCTGCTGCAATGGTGCTAAATTGGTCTCAGCTGCTGCTCCTGCCTGAGACACTGTCTTAGAGATTATTTTATATCAGACTCTTCATTATACAGCTAAGGAAACTGAGGTCTGCTTCTAACAGTCTATGAGTCAACAAACAAAATTTGGATGGAAGACAGGTTTTGACTCTGAATTTCCTCCTTCTCGGAATAAAGCAAATAATTTTTCCAGTTGCTCTAGAACTTAATCCTCTTGTCACAAGTGAAGAGAAGCCATTTCAGAGGCAAATTAGGGAAGGAAAGTTGAAAAAGGACATAAATCCCTTCTGAGCTAAGGAGGGGAAGGAGGTTGATGCTTCAGTGTAAGTTTAGACATTGTATTTCAGGGTCTTCTTCACACGCATTAAAAAAGCCAAACTTTTATTTATTTATTCTTGGCTGTGCTGGGTCTTTGTGGATGTGGGCTTTTCTCTAGTTGTGGTGAGTAGAGAGGGGCTACTCTCTAACTGTGGTGCACGGGCTTCTCATTGCAGAGGCTTCTCTTGTGGAGCACAGGCTCTAGAGAGTGCAGGCTTCAGTAGCTGTGGCACATGACCTCGTAGTTGTGGCTCGAGGGCTCCAGAGCACAGGGTCAGTAGCTGTGGCACATGGGCTTAGTTTTTCCACGGCAAGCAGGCTCTTCTTGGACTAGGGATCGAACCCGTGTCTCCTGCATTGTCAGGCGGATTCTTTACCACTGAGCCACCAGGGAAGCCCCCACATGCATTCTTAAAAGATACTCTATTCTAAATTTTCAGGATTTCGGCTCATTTACTAGGTATAAAGTTTCTAGATTTAGCAAATAAAAACATAGGACATGTGGTTAAATTTCAATTTCATAAAATAACAATTTTTCAGTATGAGTACACCCCAAATATTTCATGGGACACACTTGTATTAAAAAGTCTCCATTGTTTCCCTGAAATTCCAATTTAACTATATTTTATCTGGCAACCCTAACTAAGTAGTATTAAATACCTTAAGAGGAACTAGAAACAGAGTATCTGGGACATTATTTCAGATGAGGGGTTTCACAATGGCCTAAACCAACACAGAAAGTTAAACCTACGTTGGAACAAGGTATCCACTTCTGTCTTAGCTTTCCTGCAAACATTTACCCCCAGTCCTCTTAACTTCTTCCTGATACTGGTCTATTCGATATATATCCCTGAACCATCACTCTTTTTTACTCCCTTCCTATTTCCCTCTAGCTTGTTTTCCTACTCTCCACTCCTTCATTCTTCCCTCTTAATTGCCTAGCAGCTGGACACATATCAGGATACAAGGAGTGAGCTTCCCGAGCGTGTATGGCCACATGTGCACATTCCTGAGGACTCACTCCACATCTCTGCACGGGAAGGCTGTTTTGATGATGCAGCCCTCTGGGGAGGTCGAGACAGAAAGGGTGCCTGTCTCCTGGTGGGGCTCCCCTGCTCCCCTGGCAACAAGTCTCAGGGGGAGTCTAGGAATAGATTAACCTACCTCTAATTAATTCAAATTAAATTTGAATTTCAACTGGACAATGAATAATTTTTAGTACAAGTATGTTTCAAGAAAACTTGGGATGTACTCATATAGCACTGAAACAGCCCACGTGTCCTGAAGCCAAATAAAGGAGAGAAGAGATATTCATGGGTCTGCCGTGGCTTTCCAGGCTTAGGTGATAGTTTTGGGTGGGGTCTAAACCAGGGATTTTCCCAGACATGCATGGGACACTCCCCCCCACCGCCCTTCCCATCACCCCACAGAGGGGATGTTTGCAGCACTAGTCTCCTTGTTCGCGCTTTCTGGTCCATTCCAGGGTTCTTTATTTCAACTACACTGTGTCTAGACCACTCAGATTTCCTGAATCCCATGGCAGCCAAAGGGGCAGGGCTGAGAATGGAGAGCTGCTGCTTGCAGGCAGGAGCCAGGGGAAGCCAGTAGAGCCACTCCAGAGACTCTCTAGGCTGAGGCTGGGAAAGAGGTTTTCAGTGTACGGGAGGGGGTGTCTCCAGGGAGAAGCAGCTTGCTGGGACCCCAAGAAGTGCTGCAGCAGAGCTGCGATTGTGATCACACTGTGGGTGTGGCCTGTCACTCTAAACCAGACGGTCTTCTAGAATCCCAACTCCTTTAAATAGGCTCTATGGTCAGCACCAGACAGTAGGAGCCTGGGATTGCTGCCTGGCTCTGATAGCCTCCAGCCCAGGGCAGGGAGGCTGTTCCTGGGTGCGGCCACTCTGCTCTTTTTCCACAGTCCCAGTAAGAGGCAACAGCAAGGCTGGGGCAGGACTGCGCCAAGGTTCCTACTAACAGGCAAGGATGATGAAGGCTGAACAAAGCTGCTGTCAACACCTCTGCCGGTCTCCTCTCTTTTTCCTCTGGTGCCTGACCAGCCCAGGGCTGGGGGAGGGCTGGCTCATTCGGTCTCAGGCTGCCCCACTGGTGCTGCTGCTGCTGCTAAGTCGCTTCGGTCGTGTCTGACTCCCTGCGACCCCACAGACAGCAGCCCACCAGGCTCCTCCGTCCCTGGGATTCTCCAGGCAAGAACATTGGAGCTTGCCTCACTAGACATTGTTTAATTATTAAAACGTTCTCCCACCCACCCTCCACAGGCCAGAAGCTGTCCTAATTACCAGGAAGCCAGAATACCAAATTAAACTTTTTCCCAGAACTTTGTCTTTTAACTCTCTCCATTATGGTACTCCTCCCTTTCACACGTACCCTGTGAGTTAGCTCACCTGGTTGTCGATCTTGATCTCGATCAAGGTGTCATTTTCCTTTAGTGCCTCTACAAGGGCCAGGATCCCAGCACCAGTGATGAAATTGGATTCTATGTTTAGACTTTTCAAGGTCTTGTTTACTTTTAGCATATCTGCAAAGGCCTTATGATGTGAAAAAGAAATAACCATTAGGGTTTCTAAAGATTTATTTACCGAACTTCTCACCACCACATTAAATATTTTTTTTACAGTACTTAAAGAAAACCTTAGTTAAATCAGAACTTCACCTTCAAGTAACAAAGATAATAATTAAAAAATGCAATAAAAATAGCTCAGTTCAGCAGCTCAGACTAATAAATTCCACATGCAAAATTAAAAAAAAACAAAGATTGTTGTTTAGTTGCTAAGTTGTGTCTAACTATTTTCGACCCCATAGCCTGTAGCCCTCCAGGTTCCTCTGTCCGTGGGATTTTCCAGGCAAGAATACTGGACTGGGTGGAGATTTCCTTCTCGGAGGTAGCTTCCCAACCCAGGGATCGAACCTGAGTCTCCTGCATTGGCAGGCGGGTTCTTTACCACTGAGTCACTAAGGAAGCCCCCCTAAAAAGACACTGACATAGAATTAACAACTTTGTTTCATTAAGAAAGGACATTAAAAAACCCACAACCATCTGTTATCATTGTGAATTTTTTTTTGAGAAAAGGCATTTTAACATTAGGGGAAAAAATGTATAAAAGATTAATCTCAGAATTATTTCATTTTTCTCCTTTTACTATGAATGGATGAAGATTTTTATCATTGACTAGCATTTGGGCACTACTAATTTAGTAGTATTATTTCAGGTCATCTGTAAATCAGGATTTTCAAAGATAACTTTTGGAACAAAATCACTACCCAGAGTGGCAGAACCACTGGTGACTCCCAGATGGACAGTGGATGGCACACATGCACCTGTGTGTTCCCTTCATCCCCACAGTTTCCTGCTATCATAAAGAAAAGGTATACTTTTTGAGTGGCTGGAACTCCTACAATGCAAGAAAACAAAACAGAGGGCCATTATTTTGAAGAGTTGCTAAAATACAGAAAGATTGGTGGAGAAATGACCACACAATCGCCTGAGATCCCAAGGTGAGTCCCAGCAGTGTGTGTGTGCTACGTTGTCTCAGTCGTATCCAACTCTTTGCGACCCTATAGACTGTAGCCCTCCAAATGCCTCTGTCCATGGAATTCTCCAGGCAAGAATACTGGAGAGAGCTGCCGTGCCCACTTCCAGGGATCTTCCCGATTCAGGGATCGAACCCACGTCTCTTAAGTCGCCTGCACTGGCAAATGGGTTCTTTACCACTAGCGCTACCTGGGAAGCCCCAATTAGGGCGTCTCACTACAAAGCTGCCTTAGGAACAGGTGGATCAGCGAGAGCAGGTGGAGAGCACAACAACTCTTCCTGAGGCTTCCCTGGAAAGGGGCAACTGCCTGCACAGCCATCAGTGAGAAATCTCCCAGGAAGAGGCTTGGTGAGGGTGCTAGGTCCCGAGAGTGAAGCAGTGCAGAAATGGAGGCACTCCCAGCTCTTCCGCCAGATATAGAGTGGGAGACGGGACAGGAGAGGCGGCAATGCCCAGGATGGAAATACGCTGAACTGTGTCCCTCCCAGAGGGAAGCCCTCCCAACTTGAGCAGTTGCCGAGGACTCCCCGGTTGCCTGCTAGCTTCTCATACCCACACTACAGAGAAGGCTGCTCATCAACTCATCTGCCTGCTTACAAAAGCACTCGCTCATTCATTCATTTATTCACTCATTCACTTAGAAAAGATTATGTGTCAGGCTTCTGCTTTGTGCTAGGTGTAGAGAAAACAAAAATCCCTGTTTTAGGGAGCTTATAGTTCAGCAGGAGAGGCAGCGGCAATAATGACTAAATAAAATGTGTGGCCTGCCAGATGGTAACAAATGGAGAAATATAAAGGGGCTTCCCTTTTAAGGGATAGGTCTTTTGGCGAACCAGATCTACATAACTGCAGAGGAAATAGTCCCGGTTTATACAAATCAATTTTGTTCTCTATTTGGAACTATGAACAGGCAAACAATGACTGCTAGACCTAATAGGAAAACCAACATCAGGAGAGAAAAGTTGAGTTCACAAAATAGGCCAGCATGCTATGCAGGGAACACAGAATATTCAGAGAACAGAAATATGTAAAACTTTCAAATGTTATCAACTCTCTCCACCTTGCCCCACTTCCAAAAAAGAAAGAAAGAAAATAGAGAAAGAAAAAACACTGTAATCTACTCACAGAGAAACAATAATCAGACTGCCATTAGTCACTAGACTTCAAGGCCCATATAACTGAGGCTTTAATGTATTTATACAGCCAGATAATTGTAAATGCTGGTGATAAATTCTAATTTTTTGGTGTCAATCTATACACCTAACTGAATATAATGAGATAAAATGTATAAAGCTCAAATGTGTGAAATAGTAGAATAACTACAATTTAGAGCTACAAAAGGAAAATGAAGTAGAAAGAAAAGAGAGTACAGAATTGCCCAATCTTTTCTAACAGAGAATCAAAAACTATCTGAGATAATAAATCAAAAATAAAAGTGCATATGTATTAGTGCATTTCTACCTGGTTGCACACTAGAAAGACCTGGATGCTTTAAAAAATACACCAATGCTTGGGCCCCACCCAAGATGAATTAAGTCAGAATCTCAGGCTGTGGCCTGGACAGATGCTTTGTTTGTTTTGTTTTTTATTATTGAAGTATAGTTGATTTATGACTGCATTTTTGAAAAGCTCTTCAGTGACTATTGTTCAGCCAGGATTCAAAATCACTTTAATTGAAATCATATAGACAACAACGAAAGGAATGAAAAACAAGCTGCTAACAGTGATTGCTCTCGGGAGTAGAACAAGGAACTTCTGAACTCTTTTGTTTTAATGGCAGAAAGGACAAGAAGAAGGAAGAGGAGAAGGAATTCAACTTGAGACAAGAACAGGTTTTCCAACCTCAAGACCATCGACATCTGAGGCTGGAGAATTCTTTGCTGTGGGAGGTATCCTGTGTCTTGTGGGAGGTTTAGCAGCCTCTGAGACCCACAAAATGTCAACAGTACCCTCCCAGTCATGACAACCAAAAATATCTCCAGACACTGCTAAATGTTCCCTGAAGGGCAGAAACACCCTGAGTTGAGAACCACTGGACTAGAAGAATAATCCTGTGTCAAGCACTTGCTTGAACTACAAGGAAAGCTCAAGAGTTTGCACTGATGTTATTGTACACCATGTAAATTAAAGTGTATTTATTCAGTGCTAGGTCTTTAATTAGAATTAAATGTACACATTTTAATTAGAGCCCCAAAAGGGAATGCATCAGGCCTTTCCTTATGGATTCTCCAAGCTTTGGGATTTACTTCTGCTATTAGAATAACAAAATGTCAGAGCAATTAGGCCTTTATAAAAAACTTGCAGGACCTACTGGCAAGTAGCCATGATCTCGCCAATTTCTTTTAAACTGGAGAAAACACTTTTCTTATACCGAACAAAACAGGGAAGAGAGATCCAGCCAAACACAACCCTGGGCTCCAGGCCCAGGTTCACTGCAGTTCAGCAAATATTTGAGCATCTATTACATGTGCTGGGGATAATAACATTAGTGAAACCAAGACTAGATTTCTTAAAGGTTATATAAATAGTGAAGAAATACATTTTTAAAGAGAAGGTTTTGCTTTCTGTACTTCACAGTGTTATGTGGAAATTGCTGTTTCCTGCACTGTCTAAACCTGTACCCTTGCAGGGGTAGCCACAGGACTCACATGGCTATGGAGGCCTTGAAAAGTGCCTCTTATGAACTGAGATGTGCTGTAAATATAAAACATGCATTGGATTTCAAAGATGTAGTATGGAAAAATACTGCAAAATACCTCATTACATATACATTTTGAAATGATGTTATTTTGGATATGGTGGTTTAAATAAAATATATTATTAAATTTAATTCCACCCATTTTTTTTTTAATGTGGTTACTGGAAAATTTAAAGGTCCATGTGTAGTTCTCATTTTATTTTTATTTGATAGTGCTGTCCTAAACTTCTGATTTTTATGTGGCATTCCTATTAATAACAGCATTTTTAAAAAACATATTTGGGCCTTTTCTCTACATTGGCATTCATTAGTGTGGTAAGTTTCATTAACACTCCCTGCTATAGGTGTGATTATATGGAAGCACGTGGAGCATGGTAAACTGAATTTGATTACAGATCACTTAAATTTGCTTCCTGGCTTGGTCACAAGCTGGGTAATCTTAGTTAAGGTACTCAAACTCTGAGCCTCAGTTGCCACATATGTAAAATGGGGATAATGTCATCTCACATCCACATAGCTTGTCTATATTCACTATAATCCCACAAGTATTTTGTAGAGTCTATTTGTGAACCTTACATAGAAAAGAGTCTCCAAGCTCTTGCTTTAATGCTGATCTGTAATTCTCAACAGTGAGTTGTTCACCCACAATCATAGTCTGAATATCTCTGCTGCCTGTGGGATAATCAACCAATCTTCAACCTATAGAAAAGTTCTTTTCTGACGATAGCATAGCTGAAAGGGGAACTATCTGGGGTCAGCCAGGTGAGGGCTGGACCATGTGAAGCCATCCAGGCATAAGGCTGGAAGAGGCTTTTCTTTTCACTCTAAAGGATAACAGTTATTCCTTGCAGTTGTATGGTGCGCTTGTCACAAGGCATACATTCAATACATAGTTGTTGGATTGAAAACTATATCAAGCAGATTATTATATTTGATATAACAATATATATTAATATATTAATACATTTTGGGCTATATTATGTTTTATATAATAATATATAATATAAATACATTATAGATATAATGTGTGTTAATGTATATTATTAACATATTGGGCTGTGTAATGGATATATATATATTATATTAGTCCATTCAGCAAGTTATCTATTTGCTGTAGAGTAGAAGTTAGATTATTTACTAGTAGTGCTGACAGTAAACTATAAACTAGTTGCATCCATGCAATTTTACTGTAAATATTATATTACACAGAAATTACAAATCATTTATTTATTTATCCCTTTAGTTATTTACATACAAAATGCACTGTGAATATTTTTGCTTAATTGAAAAAAAATCTAGTAAAGGGCAGAGATTATACACAAAATCATACACAGATAAGAACCTTTAAATTGCTAACTTTACCTCACCAATAATCTAGTTATGTTCTTTTTCTATTTCAATGATAGGCTTCAAATTAAAAACTGCTTTCAACCTACAAATTTAGACATGTAATAACTGCTGGTGAAAACATTAGTTCTGTAGCTTAGCCCCTCTCTTACATGAGTGCTTACTTCATATTTGCTGTCGTCATCATGGAAATACTGCCTATTGCTCAGAGGTTAGAGGGCACATCCATTTATTCATTTAACAAGTATTTTTCAATACTTGTTTTTCAACATCTACTCAGTACCAGCACTGTGGTGGGTAGCATTACTTTCTTGCTGTCCCTTTTTAATGTTATTTTAAATCTTCCAAAAGACATGTTACTTTAAAGCACATCATCAAGTCAAGAAACTTTTATTTTTCAAGTGCTGAGAATCAGATCCTGTAGAACCACTGATGTGGCCTAATGCTCAGGCTTCTGACAATTGGCACAGTTTAGCAAACATACAACAGTGAGATAATGTATTTAAATATAGCATAGCTGGGTGGTTAGGCATTTTGATTGTGGAACCAGGACCTGGTGGTGAATCCTGGCTCTGTCCTTTGCTGATTGGGTTACTTTGGAAAAGTTACTTAATCTTTCTGAGCCTCACACTGCTCATTTGTTAGAGTGGGAACGAATAATAGTACACACCTCATTGCGTGTACTGAGGATTCAGTGAGATGACCTAGCAAAGGCAAGGATCAGAGCTGGCAGTTACTAACTGCTCAAGAAATGTGAGCTATTAATAGGAGGAATAACACTGATGATGGCAATGGTAGTAGTATTTCCTTGGGCTCAGGGGTTTCCCTATTTACTTGAATCAACTAAGGTGCTTAGAAGGAATGGACCTTTTTTTTTCTTTCATCTTCTGGTTAACAATATCAAACAAAAAATGGTTTAAGATTTGGTTGTTTAAAATATTTTTGAGACATATGAATCCACTTAAAAGATTAAAATGAAAAATATGTTAACATTTTTTCTATGTGCTGAGTTCCTGTAGCCTTTCATGGGGGAGGGGTCTCATATCCATTTATTGTGATGGAATGCTACTGAGGTGCAAACGTTTCAGAAAATTTATAGTAAGAATAAAACAAGATCTAAATATTTATTTAGCTAGATGACTAATCTAATCTTATATCTTTCTCCTAAAAGTGTAGTGTTAACAAAATTCTAGTGAATTCAAAGTGCCTGACTTGTGGGTTCTTGTTTACCATCTCATTATAACTAATTTTGTTTATTAATTATACAGAAAATAAATTGACCAGATCTGAACATTGTTAATTGATAAAACAAATTAAAAATAGCTTCTACTGAATTAAATATCTGAGGGCTATATTTCTAAGGATTTTACTCACAATTGCCACAGGGTCATTGCTGCGGGTTGCGGCCAGACTGAACTTTTTCACATGAGTGTTGGTCTCCAGAGCCTTTGCAAATTCCTTCAGGGTTGGAATTGGAATGTTCTATGAGAAAGACACAGATTGTTGATGAATCCTTCTATAGCACCTTCGCCCTAAGCTCAGGACCCACAGCTTTTATATACAGCAGGTCCCCGACCTATGCATGAGTTTCGTTCTGAGAGCACATTCCTAGGTCCAAAGTGTACGTAACTCCAACAAAGTTAGCCTAGATACCCAACTAACACAATCAGCTAGATAATACTGTACTGTAACAGGTGTATAATACTTTTCACACAAATAATACATATATAAAAAAGAAACACAAAAAACAAACATTTTTAATCTTACAGTACAGTACCTTGAAAAGTACAATAGTACAGTACATCAGCTGGCATACAGGGGCTGGCACGTATGCTTGCATCTTTGAAAGTTCACAATTTGAAGGTTCGTATTTTGGTGACTTAGATGAACCTTAGATTTTATCCTCTCTAAAAGACATTCATCAGCCATCTCTAGCAACTAACCTATCCAGAGCCAATAGCCCCACTTAGTGTCCAATAAGGGAATCTAACACAATGTGACACTCGCATCACTTCTGTTTACCCTCCGAATTATGCACATACCACCCTTCCCTCTTTTTCTCTTTCATTCTCTATATTTTAGCCAGACTAGAATTAAACTAGCTCTAATTCCTACTCATCTTTCAAGACCCAGCAGAAATATCACCTCCTTTGTTTATTGGTTCTCCTAGGCAGGATCAATTTCCCTTACCTGCAATTCCACAGAATTTGGGGGTTTACCACATCATGTTATAATTATCTGCTTAGTGTTTTTCTCCTAGTTTGAGTTCTTCAGAATTGAGACTGAATGAACCTTACTCCCCCTTCCATAGCACTTAGCACAGTACTGAGCACCGGAGAGGCAGACAATACGGGGCACAGCTAGAGGCTAACATGAGTTCATGGAACACTACAGGCCAGCTCTGTGACTGTGGACAACTGAATTTTTTTAAAGTCCCATTAAGAATTAAATGAGATAATGAATTTCAAGTATTTAGCTAAGTATATGGCACATAGCTAGTACTCAATAAAAATCAGTTGATACTATTAAATGCTAGAAATTGGCCTAATAAGAAGGAACGAAAAAGGTGTCAGGTAGTGTTTTCTCTTTCTCTCATTCTTTCTCTCTCTCACTGTCTCATACACACAATTTCTCCTCCCTTTGAGAGTGCTAAGACATTGTCAAAGCAGAAGTGACTTCAGAGAATAGGCCATAAAAGACATTGTGGCTTTCAGTTTACTCTCTCTTTTTCTCTTGGGTCATTTTCTCTGGGGGAAGCAAGCTGTCACGACATGAAGATATATTGGCGGCCCTATTGAGAGGTCCATGTGCTGCGGAAACTGAGGCCTCCTGCCAACAGTCACATGAGTGCGCCATCTTGCAAATGGAGCCCCAAGTCCTGGTCAAGCCTTGAGATGACTGCAGCTCTGGCTGACAGCTTTACTACAGCCTCATCTGAGACCCTGAGTCACAACTACCCAGCCAAGTCACTCTCAGATTCCTGACACTCAGAAATTATGTGAAATAATAAACTGTTGTTTTAAGCCTCTAAGCTTCGGGGTAATTTGTCACTCAGTAGTAGATAACTAATAACACTTGTTTAACACAAGTACTGTAATTCTTTTCAAAGAATTCTAGAAATGACTCTTTTTTTTTAAACCTACTTCTTTATTTTAAAATTTTATTTTTATTATTATTTTTTAACTTTTTATTTTATATATTAGAGAATAGCCAATTAACAATGTTGTGATAGTTTTAGGTGGACAGCAAAGGTACTTAGCAACACATACACATGTATTCATTCTCCCCCAAACTCCTTTCCCATCCAGGATGCCACATAGCATTGAGCAAATAAATCCACTCCTTCTGAATAGGATATTTTGCCTCGAAATCAGTGACGATAAAGGATTTAGAACATGTGTAAAGGCAGGCAGTCATCTCCAGTAAGTTTTCTGACTGAACGATAAATCAAGTGACTGACGACAATCATTTGAAATACCTTAATATTGTTGAGGTTGACTTCTTGCAAGCTGGGATCATTGGCTTTCATCTGCTGTAGACTTACTTCCACATTTGTGGGATTTGGTGGTTCCTCAAATACTGGCTTGACCTTTTCACCTTTGACCACATCTAAGACACAAGTTTTAATTTTAAAAATAAAATGTAATATCTCTCCCATAAAAATCAGAGACAACTTCCCCCCAAATGACCTTCTTGTCATATGTGGTGATTCCAATAATATTCTAATATCAGTGACAGCAAGCTTATTCTCAACTCAGCAAGCAGAGGAATGGTGTGGCTCTGAGTTACAGGCTCCCAGGTTGGTGTTTTCAGCTGCAATGAGAAGTCTCAGTGGTTTATGTTTCATGGAGCCAAAAGTGCAGGAGGCTCTGCAGCAAACTCAAACTCCTAAAAGAATATCCACAGGTAGTTATAGCTGCTCCATATGGACCTCTTTCAAACTATAATAACCAAACCAAAGAAACTAAGATGCACTAAAATGAGTTCCTTTATTTCCCAAACCCAATTCTCCTCTGGCCCATCCTCTGATTTCCATCTCAGAGCTTTAATTTTGAGGATTGTATAGGAAGAGAAAGGAATAGAAAAGAAGAAGTAGAAGAATTCTCAAAAGCAGTTAACAGAAAATGTTTGCAATGTATGTAATACACAAAGGGTTCATATCTCAATATACATAGAGCTTCTACAAGGCAGTAAGATAACCCAGTGGAAAATGAACAGCTAATGATCAGAGGAATCTCTATCAGTCAACCAAAAAAATGTAAAAAGTAATTAAATTCTGAGAAATTTAAAAATGAGATACCATTTGATTTGCCAAAAAATGTAAAATGATAATATTCAGAGTCAGAAGGAGAGATATTCCACGTACAGAAATATTCAGTGTTGTCAAGATGTCAGTTCTTCCCAAATGTAATGCAATCCCAATCAAAATATCAGAAATTTATTTTGCAGATATTAAAAAATGATTATAAAGTTTATATAAAGGGGAAAATACACAGAATAGCCAAAACAATATTTAAAGAGAAAAACAAATCCAGCAATTCAACTTCAAGAAGACTTAAAGCTATACGAAGGAAGATAGTGATATTGGTGAAAATATACAAATAGATCAGAATACAGAGTCCACAAATAGACCCACATAAGTACAATCAATTGATCTTTGACAAAGCAGCAAAGGTAATATAGTGGAGAAAAAAGTAGTCGTTTCAACAAATGGTGCTGGAACAGCTGGACATCTACATGAAAGAAAAAATAAAAGAATCTAGATACAGACCTTATGGGCTTCCCAGGTGGTGCTAGTGGTAAAAGACCCACCTGCCAATGCAGATGTAAGAGCTGGTTCAATCCATGGGTTGGGAAGATCCCCTGGAGGAGGGCATGGCAACCCACTCCAGTATCCTTGCTGGAGAATTGCATGGACAGAGAAGCTTGGCAGGCTACCTTCCATAGGGTTGCAATGAGTGTAACACGACTGAAGTGGCTTAGTATGCACACCCAGACCTTACACTCTTCACAAAAATTAACTCAAAACAGATCACAGACCTAAATTTAAATGCAAAACTATAGAACTCCGAGGAGATAACATAGGATAAAATCTAGATGACCTTGGGTTTGAAGATGAAGTTTTAGATACAGCCCTAAAGGCATAATCCTTAAAAGGAAGAATTGATAAACTGACCTGCATTAAAATTAAACATTTATACTCTACAGAAAATACTCTCAAGAGCAATGGGGAGATAAAGCACAGACTGGGAGAAAGTATTTGCAAAAGACACGTCTGATAGACTCACAGATATGGAGAAAAAACTAGTGGTTACCAGTGGGGAGAAGGAGGAGGGAGAGACACTATATGGGTATAGTGAAAAAAAGGGTTGTTATGGGATTATTTGAAATCATGTGTGTGAGTACATCAAGGCTGTATATTGTCTCCCTGTTTATTTAACTTATATGCAGAGTACATCACATGGAATGCCGGGCTGGATGAAGCACAAGCTGGAATCAAGATTGCCAGCAGAAACATCAATAACCTCGGATATGCGGATGATATCACCCTTATGGCAGAAAAGCGAAGAGGAACTAAAGAGCCTCTTGATGAAAGTGAAAGAGGAAAGTGGAAAAGCTGGCTTAAAGCTCAACAGTCAGAATACTAAGATCATGGCATCTGGTCCCATCACTTCATGGCAAATAGATGGGGAAACAATGGAAACAGTGACAGACTTTATTTTTTTGGGCTCCAGAATCACTGCAGATGGTGACTGAAGCCATGAAATTAAAAGATGCTTGCTCTTCGGAAGAAAAGCTAAAGCTATGACCAACCTAGACAGCATACTAAAAAGTAGAGACATTATTTTGCCAACAAAAGTCCATCTAGTCAAAGCTATGGTTTTTCCAGTAGTCATGTATGGATGTGGGAGTTGGAATATAAAGAAAGTTGAGTGCTGAAGAATTGATGTTTTTGAACTGTGGTGTTGAAGACTCTTGAGAGTCCCTTGGGCTGTAAGGAGATCAAACCAGTCGATCCTAAAGGAGATCAGTCCTGAATATTCATTGGAAGGACTGATGCTGAAGCTGAAGTTCCAATACTTTGACCACCTGATGCAAAGAAGTTACTCATTGGGAAAGACCCTGATGCTGGGAAAGATTGAAGACAGAAGGAGAAGGGGACGACAGAGGATGAGATGGTTGGATGGCATCACCAACTCAATGGACATGAGTTTGAGTAAACTCTGGGAGTTGGTGATGGACAGGGAAGCCTGGCGTGCTGCAGTCCATGGCTTGCAAAGAGTTGGACATGACTGAGTGACTGAACTGAACTGTGTGAAACTTTTGCAATTTGTAAAACATTATATAATTTTCAAAATCTTTGATTCATTAAAAAAATCAGAAAAAAGACACATATGATAAAGCACTTATCCAATATATATAAAGAACTCTTAAAACTCAATGATAAGGAAATGACATGATTTTAAAAATAAGCCAAAAATGTTAAGAGATATCTCACCAAAGAAGATATACAAATGAAAAATAAGCATATGAAAAGATGCTCCACATCATATGTTATCAGGGAAATGCAAATTAAAATAGTGACACACCACTACACACCTATTAGAATGACCAAAATCTGGAACACTGACAAAACCAAATGCTGGTGAGGATGTGGAGCAACAGAAATTCTCATTCATTGCTCATGGAATTCAAAACCAGACATCTTACCGTAAGATTCAGCACTTATGCTCCTTGATGTTTACCCAAAGGAATTTAAAATTTATGTCCAAAATCTGAACATGGATATTTGTAGCAGCTTTATTCTTAATTTCCAAAATTTGGAAGCAACTAAGATGTCCTTCAGTAGGTAATCTGATAAACTGTGATATATCCAAATAATGGAACATTATTCAGTGTTAAAAAGAAATGATCTATCACTGCCACATGATTTAGCAATTCCACTCCTGGGCATATGTCTAAAATAAGCAAAAACACTAATTTGAAAAGTCACATGCATCCCCATGTTCACAGAAGTATTATTTACAATTGCCAAGATATGGAAGCGGCCTAAACATATATCAACAGATGACTGGATAATATACACCCATATGTACAAACAAATATGGGCTACTACTCAACCATGATAAAGAATGAAATTTTACCATTTATAACAACATGGATTAACTTGGAAGGTAGTATGCTAAGTGAAATAAGTCAGACAGAGAAAGACAACTACTTTAAGATGTCATTTATATGTGAATCTTAAAAAAATAAATAGTGAATATAACAAAAAGGAAATAAACTCACAGATACAGGGAACAAACTGGTGGTTACCAGTGGGGAGAGGAAAAGAGGGAGGAGCAAGACAGAGAATTAAGAATTCTCTTAATAGAGAATTAAGAAGTACCAATTCTTATGAATAAAATAAACTATAGGGATATATTATATAACAGGGAATATAGAAAACTCCATAATAATATATAATAACTATAAATGGAGTATAACCTTTAAAAACTGTGAATCACTATGCCATATACCTATAACTTATAAAATATTGTACATCAAATGTTACTCTCAATAAAAAAAAGAAAAGCTCTATCAAATCTTGAAAAGACATGGAGGAACCTCAAATGCATATTACTAAATGAAAGAAACCAGTCTGAATAGGCTACATACTGTATGATTCCAACTATATGACATTCTGGAAAAGACATAATGATGGATACAGTTAAAAGATCAGCGGTTGCCAGAGGTTAGTGGGGAAGAAGAGATGAACAGGCAGAGCACAGAGAAGCTTCAGACAGTGAATCCACTCTGCCTGAAACTGCAGTGGTGGAAACATGTCATTACACATTTGTGCAAACCCACAGAATGTACAAACCCAGGAGTGAGCCCTGTTGTAAACTTCGGGCTCAGAGTGACAATGATGTGTCAATGTAGGTTCATTAATTGTAACAAATGCACCCCTCTGTGCAGGATATAGCTAAGCGGAGAGGCGGTGCATATGGAACAGCATATCTCTGTACCTTTCTCTCAATTTTGCAGTGAACACAAAACTACTCTAAAAAATAGTATTTTAAAAAGTTAATGATATGTGTGTATGTGTATGTATAAAAGCCCAGTAGGCTATGCACCAGACTTTTTTTTCATAACAAACATGTTGTCAGAATCTTACATTTTGGTATTGAGATTAAAAGGATGAATATTTTTCATTTGTATGCACAAGAAACCAGAAGGAAAACAAAAGGAATGTTGCTCACTGTCTGGGTAAATTACCCAGTATAAATGGTGGTTGATAGACACATTGCTGAGAATAGAAAGCATTGCCAAAGTCACCATCAGAGAGAATAAAATGTAATTTTATTAAGAAAAGCTGTGATCTTCTGTGAGTTTTCATAACAGCTGGATCACATTATACTGAAATTATTTGGTTATTGATCTGTCCTTTCTACACATAGATATGTTCCTTTGGTCAGGCACCATCTTTTTTACCTTTGTACCTAAGCCTAGAACGTTCCTGACACAGTAAATATTTAGTAAATGACTGATGAATGAGTAAGTGAGAGAGGCTAATGAAGGATACACTTCTCCAGAAAATGGTGACAAAGAAGAGAGTGGTCTGGAATGTTCTGTGGCAAATCCACACCAGTGTGTCTTTCATGCTCTCTGGGGGAAGTAGGTACTCAAATTCTAATGACAAACATCCATTATTGAGACAAAGAGGCACTCAAATAGAGAAGGAAATTTATCTAAAATACTACAGAAAATCAACCCTGAATATTCTTTGGAAGGACTGATGCTGAAGCTGAAGCTCCAATACTTTGACCACTTGATACGAAGAGCTGACTCATTGGAAAAGAACCACAGATTTCATGTCAACTTACTTCTCACAGGCCCTTTGCCGCCTTTTGTGTTGGTCGTTTCTTCATCAAACTTGGGATTGTTGAGCAAATTGTGTACTCCAAGAACAGCTGAAAAGCAAAAATAACCTGTGAATAAAACTTAAGTTTGAGAAAGCTTAAGTTAAGATGTCCACATTATTCATTTTCCCTTTGCAGAACAATTCTTCATACCATAAAGATAAGTCTCTTGACCTCACTTGCCTTGCAAAGTGTGTGACACATGTATAGTAAGCTTTTTTTAAAAAAATCCCTCCTCCTAAGATCACTAGCATTCTTCACATCTTTCTACATCTATATATGTGGAATTGTGTAGGATCTGAGGGACAATGGTCTAGTTGTCTCCAAATTGAAAATCTGCTTAGATCTCCCAGTTAAGTAGATTTATCCCCTATGTTTTCTCATCTGTAAAATTTGAACGTGGGACTGAGTCTAATGATATTTTAAGCTCTAACGTTATATAGACTATAGTATGTAGTTTTTCTGGAGACAAAGGGCTGAAGGATCATGGTCCTCTTTCAGTGTAAGCCTCCCCATTGCTTTCATCTCTCAGTACCAAAAAGAGTGGTTCTTTCCCCTTCTAGAGCATCCCAGGGTGGGAACAAGAGATGTCAGCAATAAAAGGTCGGGGAAGCAGGCTGACTTTGAGTCTCCTGTACTACAGAGAGCTTGCACCAGAGGGCAGTACAGTATGCAGGAGACGGCACTGGAGCAGGCACTAACTGCCACTGCCCACCCAGCTTGCCCTTCGTTAATGAAACGCCAGGTGAGAAATCCCAGGAGGCCTACTGGGGAAGGATGCCGGAATAAGTTGCCAGTGGAGGCAGGGGCCCACCTCTGAGCTCCTCACCTGCTGTAAACTATACTCGAGAAGGTCAGCCCCTAGAGCCAACAGGTAAATGTTCAGAGCCCGAGAGTGTGGGTGTTGGGAGTGGCGGTCAGGAGCAGTCAGCCTGAGTTCAAATCCTGACTCTGTCACGTACTATCTCTATGGCTTGAGAAGTTGTTAAACGCCACTGGGCCTCAATTTCCTCATCTGTAAAACAGGGATAGTCATCACACTTTACCTATCACAAGGGTTAAGTGACTTCCTGTGTGTGACACCCGAAGTGCTTTACAAATCCTTGTTAAGTAAATAAGGATTTGTCACTGTGCTTTTGGCATTGTCTAGGGAGAATAAACACAGAACACTGAGACCATCCAACAAGCATATCTTGCTTTGGCCCCATATTCACTAAGCAACTTATGATTATAACTTCACTCCCTTTGTCAAGTTTTAATTTTAGAATAAGGCAGAGTTGGTTCTCCTGGGAGGAAGGAGATTATTATTACTCATGTCTTCCAATGGAATAACAATGTGAAAATTCTTGCCAAAGCGGTGGGCTGTTTTTCAAAACACCTCTATCCTGTGGGAACCTAATGACCCTAATAGTGCAAATTTCCATCCAATTAGTATACAAATATGCTGATATATGCATGGAATCTTTTTCAAAGGAAATACAAGAAATGAGAGGAAGCTTATATAATTCATAACATATTATTTTGCACTTTTGGGGGTTTTCCTTTTTTTTTAATTTTTTACTTTATATTGGAGTATAGCCAATTAACAATGTTGTGATAGTTTCAGGTGCAATGCACAGCAGAGTGACTTAGCCACACATATACATATATCCATTCTCCCCCCAAACTCCTCTCCCATTCAGACTGCCACATAACATTGAGTTCCCTGTGCTATACAGTAGGTCCTTGTTGATTCTAAAAATAGCAATGTGTACATTTGATCCCAAATTCCCTAACTATCCCTTCCCTGAGTTTTTTCTATCTGCATGTATAACCAATTCACAATTCACATATAATAATAATTATTATACTGTTGCTATTGTTAAGAAAACTAGAAAAAATGAGCAGACTGGACTGAATATGGATCTACTTTACTGGGGAAATATAACAGTAAAATGGGTTCTGCTCCACGATTAGGTTAACAGAACTCTAAGTGGGAATCAAAAACAGTGACTGTGGGGAAGAACAAGAAATTTTGTGATGGAAATGGAAATTTTGTGATGATAAAATGCCAAATGTGAAGCTCTTTTGAAGGCATAAGGGCTGTTATTTTATTGTTTAAATTCTCAACACTCGTTCATATTTCTTCTCTTTGATTTCTCACAGTAACTCTTGGATTTTGTAGGATAGGCATTACTGCGGGTACTTTACAACTGAAATATGATTTTACATTTTATAGCTGAGATACGGTGAAATGTTTAATCAGAGAGCTTAGGTGACCTGCATCCAGCCTCTTAGCTGCCTAATGGCTGAAGTCAACCTGGTATCACAGTAAAAATTAACAGTGACACAGGTGCTCAGAGGCTGCTTCCAGGGGATCAGTGCATGTCTGGAGGTCACAGAGCTGGACAGAAAAGCTTCTCAGAGCTGAGGACTAACCTGCAAGATCATAGAGTTCAGTGTCGGAGGCGCTGGCCAAAGCTTCTTCCAGTTCTGGGTCCAGGGTCACCTTTTCTTCTTTACGAGTTTCTATGGGCTTTTCTTTGGGGATAAAGACTCTCCCTTTAAATCAGAAGAAAAACAAAAACATTGTGTAGTGCTGCCTTGTTACAGGGGAAGTGAACTAACCAGAGAATGTGCCGCTCTGGTCATTAAGAGCTGAAGCATTAAACCAATGCAGGTCTAACCAGGATTCTTTAATTTCTGAAATGATGCCAATGTCACTAATCCACTATTATAGGGAAGGGAGGCAGAGAAGGAATCCTGCATTCTGCAACAGAGACCTGAGGAGGTGGAGAGGGAGACAGTAGCTTCTGATCCCTATCACGGGCAGCTCTGCCCTGAGCCCTGGGCGAGAGGGGCCCTGCCGTGAGCCCCACGCTCTACAGGGCCCAACTCTGCTCTCTTCTGGTTGCATGCCCCTCCCCACTGCCTGCACCCCACTGATGGAAGGGCCACAGGGACAGAATACAGGCCACCTGCTAGACTATTCCCCAGGCATCTGCCCCTGAGATTCCCTGCCAAACAGCCCTGAACCCGCCTGCATGAGTCCTTCCTCATGTCCATCTTTCTGAAGGCAGGTCACACTGCTGGGGTGTGTACCCCTAGGCCGAAGGGAGGCTGTCTGTGAGTGAGTATGGATGAAGCTTGGATAGGTAGGCTGGAGTGTCAGCCATGGTGCTTGAGGCCCTGGCAGTGCAGGATGGACCCATACCCGCTGTGGAACTCTTGGAAGTCTAAGATATTGGCCTAGATAGGAAGATGGCACATATTTTAACAGTTTGTTAGCGTTTAACATTTATGAAAATGGCACATGGACTTCTCTTCGTGTTCCCGCCTTGGATCCTGCATGAGGCAGGCGAATACATCCAAACGGCCCTGCGGTTCCTGGGGAACAAACTGGTCATCTCCCTCGTTGACATCTCCTTCTACCAACTGCAACTGTAGGCAACCAGGATGCTATATCTAGGGGTCGCTTGATATAGTGACCTGGGGACACACCATCTTTCTAGAGCACATCAAAGTCAGCCTGACTTAAAAGGAAAAATCAGAGTTGTCATATTTAGAGATGCAGAGTTCTGATCAGCAAGGCTCTGTGCTTCCCACGTATGCATTCTCTGCAACCATCTTCCACTTTATCCAGCCAGTATGATTCCACTTACTTTGTCCCCCATTCACTTCTGAATATACTGAAATCTATAGCACCCCATTGCCTGCCCAGCCTAAACCTCTAGACTGATGACCAGAGAGCTGGGAAGATGACAAGTGACCTGCTCCTAATTTCCAGGCAGGCCAACACGTCCATATCCCACACGTGTGATGGCTCATAGAGGTAAATCCAGGCTACTCCAGAGCCACCATGGGATACTCCAGGACTTCTCACACTTTTTCAATTCCTTCTGGCTTTGACTCTTGGTTTCTCTCTTGGTTGGAGTTGCCCCACCCCTTGGCATGTTTTTTTTTCCCACCATATAGCATGTGAGTTCTTAGTTCCTTAACCAGGGATTGAACCTGCAGCCCCTGCTTGGGAAGCATGGAATCTTAGCTATTAGACCACCAGGGAAGTCTCTAGGCATGATCTTTGAAATTGGCCTTCTCCATTTTGATTGTTGGAGTTTTCCAAAGACTCACCCTTCTATTGCTTTGCCTTTTCTTCACCTTAGAACAGACAGCTGGCTCTAGTTTCAGCCAATTGGGACCCAAGCTCTTTCCACATCTCCTTGTTATTAATTGTTATTAATCTGAGACAACATGGATTGCCAATGGTGGCAGGGGCCTACTTCTGAGCACCCCATGGAAAAGGAAAGGGTCAAAACCCACATCAGGGACTCCCTCATGAAAACTCTCCAGGAGACTGCCCTGGTTACAGGGCTGCACACTTCCTGCTGGTTTACCAGACCTTCAAATGGCAGGATACATAAACAGGTGCCAGGCAGAGCTGGGGACTTCAAAGATGTACCACTTCTGTGGTCACTCTGGAATATCCTGGCCACAAGGGCTCTAGCACTGACCATCACATAAGCTGCCATGTTTCCCAGGAAAAAAGAGGAACTCACTGGGACACAAAATTGAAGAATGGCCAGAGAATAGAAAAGGAAACAAACAAAATCAATCAATCAATCAATCAATCAATAACAAAACAAAATCAATTAATAACATCTCGGACACTGAGGCTCTTCCCAGACTCTTACACAGTGTCTGCAGCCTGAAGCATTTTCTTCCTGATGTCATGATGTTGGATCCAGAGTCAAAACAGGATTTATGAGTTCCTAATTCCTGGTACCGTTCAGGATTACTCTGACCACTAGGTGTGCAGGTGGCCCAACTATCAGTATTCAGGATAACTACTCCTGCACATCCATTCCTGGGGTCCAACTGGAAGACAAGTTCTAAATGAATAATGTAGCCCAGGAAGTTGAGGGCCCAGGGCAACCAGCATTCTGCACTGAGGCTGGCGGGCTCTTTCCTGGAACACTCACGACAGCCTCCCACTGCTCCTGGGTCACTGGTGGTCTTCCTGGGGCCCTGTGCACACCTCACTGTGATCCTTCCACTCTTTCTGGAAAACTTGCTCTCTGCTCCTTTAACCCAATCATGTGGCTTCTCCTAAGCTCCCCTGTGCAGCTGTCCACCCCGTCTGGACCCCTATTTATTACTCTGACTACTGCTGGACGCCCAACCCCCTAAGAACCATCTGCAGATTAATCTGGATCAGGAGCTAATTCACCATAGCTGCTCCCAAGACCTCTGCTCCAAGAACAGAAGACAACAGCTTTCCTCTTGTTATTCTCTCACTACCCTGATACTGCAAGTTAATTGGCCTTTTATTGAAGAGTTGACATTACAATTTATTTTTTCCTTCACAATTAGTCTAATCATAACCATGCTGCCATAGAAACAGCTCCATGTTTCTACTGCAAACCTTGGTTATTAGCCTAATTTGTCACTGCCCAACCTTACTTTCTTAATAAAATGACATCATCAGTGGTTTACGAGCTAGTGGATGCACGTGGTTCAGAGCAGCCATGACGCTGCATCGGGAAGGCAGCCAAGGAGCTGGTACTCCCGCCCCCGTGGGCACAGCACAGAAGCTCAGAGATGGCATTCATTCTAATCCGTGTTGTCCAGCGCCTGCCCCATGCCACTTTCTGTGCCAGGATGCAAGAGAGACACAGTCCCGCTGTGGGTCTCAGATTCATGTGACAAACACACAAAACTGGAAGTAAGTAAACAATAGGATGAATGCTGTCACAGTGCTATGAGAGCAATAGATGAATGTTGTGATAGAAGGAGTGTGTTTTAGACAGAGAGGTCAGGAAAAGCTGAAGGCCCTGACATTTAAGCTGGGACTCTCAGGAGGTAAAAAAAGGGGGGGCAGGTCAGAGAGAAGACGACCTTGGGATGGGAAAAGAACTTGGCAGGTTTGGGGAATGCAGTGAGGACAGTGGGGCTGAGCTTAGTGAGGGGAAGAGAGCTACAGTCAGAGAGGTGGGCCAGGTGAGCTCTCCATGACTCTGAGCACCATGGCAATGGTTTGAGACATTAAGCAAGGAATGACATGATCAGATCTGTGTTTTAAAAAGAAAATGGATGCCACGAGGTTATCAGCGATTCCAGTCGTATTTTGGGGACCAAGTCACTGTTTACAGCTGAGGAACCTGGATAGGGGATTGGTAGCCACTTTTCCTCCAAAGGGGAGCTCAGGGTGGGGAGCTAGGAAGGAGGATTTTCCTGTCTTAGTTCAGAGCTCACTCCCTGCTGAAGGAACATCCTCTTACTCCTCAGGCCCCTTCCAGGTCTATCAGAATGTTTCTCACTAGACCACACGCTCCCTGAGGGTGGGGCAGGGTCTGCCCTGTGGTCCCAGCACTTGGCACAGGGCTCTGAAGCCAGGAGGTGGCTGGTAGATGCTAGATGAACAGATGATTAACTGCACTGGCCTCTAGTGAAAGCATCTAACACAAGAGAGGCAGACCTGGGGGAGATACCTGCAACTGGGACAGTCCTCAGCTAAAAGGAACACGCCAGTGCTTGATGCTACCTTACACTTCCAAAACTGCTTCTTTGGGGCTTAATTTTTTTTTTTTAATGAAATGAATTTGAATACCATTACACTCTAAGTATTCAGTTCATTTTGGGCTTCCCAGGTAGTGTTAGTGGTAAAGAACCCACCTGACAATGCAGGAGACTTAAGGAATGAGGGTTCGATCCCTGGGTGGGGAAGATCCCCTGTAGGAGGGTATGGCAACCCACTCCAGTATCCTTGCCTGGAGAGTTCTATGGACAGAGGAGCCTGTCCATATAGACAGGGCTATAGGGTTGCAAACAGTCAGACATGACTGAAGCAATTTAGCACAGCACAGCACAGCACATTCAGTTAATTAGCACATGGGTTCCTTTTTCTGCCCCCTCACTCAAGCAGATTATTACTTTTCTTGGCTAAGCAGATCTTTTATTTTTTTTTAATAAATTATGGTTACCTGTGTGGGTTTCAGAAGCCAGATTCACACTTTTATAATGACAATATTCTTTCTTTTGAACTGGCAGCTTCTTTTTTTTTATTTTTTAATTTTTTTATTTTCCATTTATTTTTATTAGTTGGAGGCTAATTACTTTACAACATTGCAGTGGTTTTTGTCATACATTGAAATGAATTAGCCATGGATTTACATGTATTCCCCATCCTGGTCCCCCCTCCCACCTCCCTCTCCACCCCATCCCTCTGGGTCTTCCCAGTGCACCAGGCCCGAGCACTTGTCTCATGCATCCAACCTGGGCTGGTGATCTGTTTCACCCTAGATATACATGTTTCGATGCTGTTCTCTTGAAACATCCCACCCTCGCCTTCTCCCACAGAGTCCACAAGTCTGTTCTATACATCTGAGTCTCTTTTTCTGTTTTGCATATAGGGTTATCATTACCATCTTTCTAAATTCCAGATATATGTGTTCTGGCAGCTTCTTTTGTTGTTCTTGCTGTTCAGATCTTTAATTTCTCTGCACATTTATCTGTATTTTTTTAATTTTTATTGAAGTATAATCAATTTACAATATTATACCAGTTTTAGGTATACAACAGAGTGATTCAATATTTTATAAATTAATTATATTTAAAGTTATCACAAAATAATGTTTATATTTTCCTGTGCTGTACAATGCATCCTTGTTACTTACTTTATACATAGTAGTTTGTGTTTCTTAATCCCATACCTCTCTCTCACCCTTCCTTTCCTTTCTTTCCCTTCTGGTAACCACTAGTCTGTTCTCCATTTGTAGCCTACATCTTCTGCCATGGTTCTATTTTTTTTTTTTAATTATTAGAATTTATTTTTTGGAGCAGCTAGCATTGGAAAGTACAGACAGTTCCCATGTCTGCCCTGTCCCTAATTCACAACCTCCCCTCTAATGACAGCCCACAGCACAGTGTATACTTGTTACAACTGCTGAACCTACACTGACATCATTGTCACCCAAAATCTACAGTTTATATTAGTGTTCACTCTTTTTTTAAAAATTGGGGTATAGTCGCTTTACAACATTGTACAATAAAGTGAATTAGCTATGCGTGTACATATATATGTCTCCTTCCTCTTTGCCCTTCCTCCAACGTGCCCCTCATCCTACCCACCTAAGTCACCACAGAGCACCGAGCTGAGCTCCCTCTACTATGCGGCAGGTTCCCACTGGCTACCTCTTTATGCATGGCAGTGCACATAGTCAATCCCAACATCTCAATTCATCCCACCTCCCTTCTGGTCCATGCCCACAAGTCTATTGTCTATGTCTGTCTCTATTCCTGCCCTGCAAACAGGTTCATTTGTACCAGTTTTCTATATATGTATTAATATATGATATTGTTTTTCTCTTTCTGATTTACTTCACTCCACCTAAATATCCATCAGCAGATGAATAGATAAGGAAGATGTGGACTATATACAATGGAATATTACTCAGCCATAAAAAGGAACAAAATTGGGTCATTTGTAGAGACATGGAGGGCTCACCCTTGGTAGTGTATGGTCTGTGGGTCTGGACATGTGTACACACACATATGTCCACCAGCCACGATGCTTTTTAACCCTACTGAATCCAGATGAGGCTTAGTTCCCACTCTCAGGCCAGTTCCCTCACCCGACCCGCCACAACAATACACGGGGTACTTATGTTATCAGACTCCACCTGAGGTCCTTACCTTTCTTTTCTCCAGTGAAGGGCACAAAGTCTTCCCTGTCTTTCTGTTCCAAAGCCTCCTTCTCCAGGTACATAAGGAGGTGCTCACGGTCAAACGGGCCCGTGGCTGCTTTCTGCGTCTGGTCTTTCTGTCGAAATCCAGCTGGCAGCAGTGCACTCTGATAAGACAGAGGAATGAGCAGGAAAGGGGGTGTCTGATGCAGTTTCCCTTCCTGACCCCTGCTGTGTAGGGGGAACTTGGGCAGAGCACACCTGGCAGAGATGAGGGCTGGAGCACTGGCCTATCTTTGAGGCCCTATTCACTCTAACATTCTGTGTTGACGGGGGTGTTTCCAAAGAGCTCAGGCAGAACTCCAGTGGCTGAAACAGCCTCAGACTGCTGCAGCTGCCTTCTAGGTAGCAAAAGGCCAGCCACTCTTTACAGCCTCTTTCCTTATAGATCCCACTTAGGTCCGTCCAGCAGTGCTCCTAGTGCTTTTTTTAATTTTAAAAAGCTTTTTTTTGGCTGTGTTGGGTCTTCATTGTCTCGTGGGCTTCTCTAGGTGTGGCACTCAGGCTTAGTTCTTCTGAGTCATGTGGGATCTTAATTTTCCCATCCAGGGATCGAACCCGTCTCCCTTGCATTGGAAGGTGGATTCTTAACCACTGGACCACCAGGGAAGTCCCTACACTCATTTCTAATCTCTCCTGGGAAACATCCAAGCTGGTAAGTGATCATTATGATAGCTATTGATATCTGCTTGATTAAATGTAGAGATATTTCTTTTAAGTTTAAAAAGTATATAGTAAAATCACTATTTTACATGTCTCTGCCTCTAAGTTTGTGATAATACTAGCAGGGCTGAAGGAAGTGCTTGCTATTATAACAAGCTATTTACCTTTTTAAGAGCTCATAAAAACATGAGATGCTCCATTTAAATTTATTTGATATTACAGTTACAGTTATTCTAATCGATCCATTATTGTGAGATCACCAAGATTTTAACTTGTTTATATATGTTAAAGAAATGAGATATTAAAAATATTTGCTTTGGGGGTTAAAGATTTGGTTTAAATACCATCTCTGACATTTACCAGGTTACCAGTATGGGATCTTAAGTAAATTACTTTTCTTGGTCTGTGCCCTTATTTATGAAATGGGGATAATATAATTTAAATCAAGGACTTCTGGGCCCAGCAGAATACTTGACTCAGAAGAAACTTGGTCATGTTTGTTTCCTCTTTCTTTTTCCTTTCTTTTTCCATAAGTCAGTCTAGTCCTTTCTTGGAGTCAATGGAAAATATTTTCTGACATTTACATTAAGCTGGTTTTTGAGAAATGCAATTGCCATATCAAATATGTGGCTACTGAGGTTCTCCATGGTTTATAGAAAAGTAAGTGGCTCAGAACCAATTAGGGAAGAACACAGAATCTGCATTTGGAGCTCAGGGATTCCTATATTATTGTTTAAGGATGTGCTATATCATTCATCCCACCTTATCACTAACCACCTACTTCAGTTCCAGGTCACTAACCTCAGGATCTAGGTCATCAAGAACATTTTCCAACTGTTTCAGTTCCTCTTCTGAGAGTTTGCCAAGAAGCTCATCTTCATCAATGTTCTTGTATTTCTCCAGCTCTTTTTGAAAAGGGAGTGCCATGGTTTCTTATATGTCTTTCTCATGGGCCATGAACATTTAACTGTGCCAGCTTCCTGAGACTTCAGAATACTAATAAGAAGAAAGAAAGACTGTTACCTCCTTTTGATAATTAGGACCTATTAGCAGGAGACAGAGCTATGCTATCTGCCCATGGAGTCTTTCTACTGGATGAAATAGTCAACAAAATAAGTAGTATTATCTTCATCCATAGAACAGACTGTCTGCTTACAAAGTATTTTCATACATATTATCTCCTTTATTTAGATTTATACAATGACCTGGAAAGGAAGCCCAGAGAGATATAGATATCACATTTTACAGATGAATATTCTGAGGCCCAAGTGAAACATGAGGCAAGGGGGCAGGGCACAACTTTTAAAAGAATGACATAGCCATAGGACATGACAAAAATTGATTAGAACCAACAAGGTCCTAGGTGGAAGAAAATGTGACTTCCAGTAGACATTGAGTCTTATTATATGCTCACTGTAACACATTAACATCTAAATGACACACCCACAGGAGCCACGACAGTTCTGAGGTCAACCAGCAAAGGCCAAAAAGTGGGCAGAGGCCCATTTCCTGGAAATCTCCACACGTTTCCCCAAATAGCTGGAATACTCCTCCCTCCTCATTCAGTTTCAGCTTCAGTTCAGTCGCTCAGTCGTGCCCGACTCTTTGTGAGCAGCATGTCAGGCTTCTCTGTCCTTCACAATGTCCCGGAGTTTGATCATGCTCATGTCCATTGAGTCAGTGATGCCATCCAACCATCTCATCCTCTGTCATCCCCTTCTCCTCCCGCCTTCAATATTTCCCAGCGTCAGGGTCTTTTTCAAATGAGTCAGCTCTTCGCATCAGGTGGCCAAAGTATTGGAGTTTCAGCTTCAACATCAGTCCTTCCAATGAACACCTAGGGCTGATCTCCTTTAGGATGGACTGGCTGGATCTTCTTGCAGTCCAAGGGACTCTCAAGAGTCTTCAACACCACAGTTCAAAAGCATCAATTCTTTGGCCCTCAGCTTTCTTTATTGTCCAACTCTCACATCCATACATGACTAAGGGAAAAACCATAGCTTTGACTAGATAGACATTTGTTGGCAAAGTAATGTCTCTGCTTTTTAATATGCTCTCTAGGTTGGTCATAACTTTTCTTCCAAGGAGCAAGCATTTTTTAATTTCATGGCTTCAGTCACCATCTGCAGTGGTTTTGGAGCCGAAATAAATAAAGTCTGTCACAGTTTCCATTGTTTCCCCATCTATTTGCCATGAAGTAATGGGACCTGATGCCATGATCTTGGTTTTCTGAAGGTTGAGTTTTAAGCCAGTTTTTTCACTCTCTTTTACTTTCATCAAGAGGCTCTTTAGTTCCTTTTTGCTTTCTGTCATAAGGGTGGTGTCATCTGCATATCTGAGGTTATTGATATTTCTCCTGGCAACCTTGATTCCAGCTTGTGCTTCAAACAGTCCAGCATTTCTCATGATGTACTCTGTATATAAGTTAAATAAGCAGGGTGACAATATACAGCCTTGACGTATTCCTTTTCCTATTTGGAACCAGTCTGTTGTTCCATGTGCAGTTCTAACTGTTTCTTCTTGACCTGCATACAGATTTCTCAGGAGGCAGATCAGGTGGTTTGGTATTCCCATCTCTTTAAGAATTTTCCACAGTTTGTTGTGATCCACACAGTCAAAGGCTTTGGTGTAGTCAATAAAGCAGAAGTAGATGTTTTTCTGGAACTCTCTTGCTTTTTTGATGATCTAGTGGATGTTGGCAATTCGATCTCTGGCTCCTCTGCCTTTTCTAAAACCAGCTTGAACATCTGGAATTTCACAGTTCATGAAATTTCACAGTTGAAGCCTGGCTTGGAGAATTTTGAGCATCACTTTGCTAGCATGTGAGATGAATGCAATTGTGCAGTAATTTGAGCATTCTTTGGCATTGTCTTTCTTTGGGATTGGAATGAAAACTGACCTTTTCCAGTCCTCTGGCCACTGCTGAGTTTTCCAAATTTGCTGGCATATTGAGTGAAGCACTTTCACAGCATCATCTTTTAGGATTTGAAATAGCTCAACTGGAATTCCATCACCTTCATTGGCTTTGTTCATAGTGATGCTTCCTAAGGCCCACTTGCCCCCTCCCCCTCATTAGCCTATGAAATTACCCATTGCTATAAAAACTGACAACCCCATACCCTGGTGCTGCTCTAGCCTCCCGGGATGGCTAACACTGTGTCTGTGAAGTGTGTTTCTAAATAAATCCACTTCGTACTATAACTTTGGAGAAGGCAATGGCACTCCACTCCAGTACTCTCGCCTGGAAAATCCCATGGACAGAGAAGCCTGGTAGGCTGCAGTCCATGGGGTTTCTAAGAGTCAGACACAACTGAGCGACTTAGGAGCAGCAGCAGCAACCTATAACTTTGTCTCTCACTGAATTCGTTCTGCAATGAGACATCAAGAACCCAAGCTTCATTAAGTCCTGAGACCAGGTGTGTGCTTTCAGTTAAAAGATCGTAGGTTCAGACCCCAATCAGAATTGCATGGTTTACGCAAGTGACTGAGCGCCTTGCTTGAGGCCTCAGAGCTGCGATGTGCCAGGCCTGCGGAGTCCCCGTGGAGTGAATGCCTTCCCATCAGATTACTCTGCCTCCTTCAGCTTTCCACAGAGAACAACAATGAAAAACAATGCACTAATTGTAAGGCAGTTGTAAGGAGCAGATTTGTGTCTTTTCAAAGGGAGAGTGATGTGAAGAATACAAAATGGGGCTCATTCAGGAAAGAGAGTTTGAACCATCAGTGTGAGAAAGCATTGTCAAGAAACTCCCCTGCAAGTAAACTAAGACAGAGTCTAAAATTCTGGCTACTCTCTCCACTCTTCTCCCTTCTTTTCTTCTTTCTCCACCTCCCATTCTCTTTCTATTCTCATTTTCTTTTTGTTTCTAAAGCCATTCTCCCTAATTCTTTGTGCATGCTAAGTCACTCCAGTTGTGTCCGATTCTTTGTGATCCCATGGACCGTAGCCCACCAGGCTCCTCTGTCCATGGGATTCTCCAGGCAAGAATACTGGAATGGGTTGCCATGTCCTCCTCCAGGGAACCCACATCTCTTATATCTCCTGCACTGGCAGGCAGGTTCTTTACCACCTGGTGATACCTGGGAAGCTGTAATTCTTTGTACCCCTAGACTATTCTTTTTTCGACTTCCTCTTTTTATACTACCTCCCTCCTAAACTTCCACTCAAAATGAAAATTTTCTCCAATCCCTTCTTTCTGGCAGAGGAACTTTACCAGTCTTCTCTAGAAAGATAATACTGTGTTTAGGAAATAGCAATGTGCTTTACTGACTGTGTTTCTCCTTTGGCAGTATTAATATCAAGCAGATCTCTCAAGGCAATAAATAACTTGTGTAAACTTACTGTTTGACAGGCATGGTTCTAAAAAACAGGAATACACAGATAAATAAGATATGACCTCCTGCCCAAGGAGATCACAGCTCAGTGATATATACATATGTGTGTGTGTATATACATATATATGTATATATATGTATAGGATGTCTTCCCTATACGTCTTGCCAAAGAACCAGGGCTTTATTCTGTTCCAGATGGGGAGTTACTATACATTTTTCAATAGATATATAACCTTTGATATATAGGCTGCAAAGCATGTTACAGCCTTCAGTCACTGCAGCCAGCCCAATGGTGCACCCTGAGGGGACTTAGGATAGGAAAGAACAGAATACCGGCCCTAGATAAGGTGCATATCAAAGGAATGATTTCAGTGAGCCCAGTCTTTTGCAGCTCCCCACACATAAAAAAGTGCTACATTCATTAACTTGAGATGTTTGGTTTTTATTAATTAATAGTAATCTTTTGATGGTCTGATTCCCTGGTTTTTGTAGCAAAAAATCCTATGTATATGGGTTCCTAGCATACCTCTCAGAGTCATCTGAGAGACTTCTGACCAGGTTTGAGTCCTCAGAAAGTCCACTGAATAAAACACAATTCTTAGCTTTGAGGTTGTGCATTTCTTTTCAGTCGACAAGTGTTATAACAGAAGTCATGTACATAGTAGGATGGGGTGGGGGAGTTGAGTAGAAACTGTGAAAAAATGTGTGTTTGAGTCTTGAAGGCAAAGGTCATAAGGTGGATGATGTATGCAGGAAAGGCAACAGCATAAACAAAGGTACAGGATAAGAAAGTACATGAGGGACTTCCCTGGTGGTTCAGTGGTTAAGACCTTGCACTTCGACTGCCGGGGACTCTGGTTCGATAGCTGGTTGGGAAACGAAGGTCCCATATGCTGCAAGGTGTGGCCAAAAGACAAAAATAAAACAGAGACAAACAAAAAAGAAAGTACATGATGCTTGGTGAATGGTCGGTGTGGCTAGAGGGGAGGAGTGGGGGGGAGAGGAAACAATAAAAGACAAGGTGGGGACAGCTGTGAAGGGCCTCCCCTATACATCTTGCCAAAATCTGGGCTGTATTCTGCTCCAGACGGGGAGTCACTACACATTTTTCAAGTAGAGGAGTTGGTCTGACAAGACTCGTTTTCAATCAGGTAATTCAAATGGTAAGAATGAAAAACAAGTCGTTAAGGAAAGAGATTGGATGTGGGTGGGCCACTTAAGAGTTATTGGAATATTGTTCCTCTCTCCTTATTTCTACTGTTTACCATGTACCAGTTTGTGGTTTTCTGTTTTGGTGTCTTTTCCATATGCAATGTAACTCTCTTTCCCTTCCATCAGCCTCCCTTCTTTTAAACTTCAATTGCAATATTCCAGTAAAAAAACAAAACTAAAACAAACCAGAAAAACCCTATCCTACTAAAGTCAGAGAAACCAACTGGACTGTATACACTGTTTTCTGGTCCCAACTACCACTAATTTATTATGTGAGTCTGGACAAGAATCTCAGCCTGCCATGCTCTTAACTATCAAATGAAATGTTTGAACTACCCTATCAAATAGATTCTAAGACACACAGTTTCTCAAATTTAACA